CTTTCAGGGTCACTGGTGCCCATTTCCAACAGTCACAGTGTGAGGGGTGGGGTACACCCTGGACAGGTTACAAGTCCATCACAGAAAAAATATATAAATATAAATATATATGTATAAAAAGAAAATACAATAAGTGAGAAAAAACACAAAGTACAAAATTGCACAGTGTGTCACAGATGGAGTGTACTGCAACATACAAACCTAAATATTCAGCCATAGTAAAGTAATTATTTATATTAAAAACAYATATTGTAATTAACTGTGATTAATTGCAATTAAAAACTTTAATCTGTGCCCAGCACTAGTAAGAACCTATTCAAAAGTTTTTACAGAGATAATTTTTTACACTTACAACAACAAATACTAACAATATCTTTGCAAGAATGTAGACAATATTTTTATGTTCTGGTGAGTATTTTTTATGCAACTTTTTCTATTAAAATGATAGCAGAAAGTTAAAAGTATAAGCATTTGTTTCCAATATAACTCTCAAGATATTCTTTGCACTGTTTAAAAATGTGAAAAAAGGAATAATAATATCATAATTATTGCTTGCTTTATACTCGACCCCACATGATTAAATCAGCTGGTAGCTGAACGAGGTATTTCTGTCTCCTGAATCATGGTTTCAAGTTTGCAGCCTACGACTTAATTACAGTGATCAAATGATCTCTAATCAGCAGCCAACAAATGTCCAGCCAACTCATACGTTCCTTTATTAGCCTGCTACGCTGTGATTTCTTATCCAGTTCTGCAACATTTGGCCAATTTCTCATCTTGTGCCGCTACTCTATTTCAGAATCATTGTTTGAAGCAAAGTCTAATTCTGACTTTGACTGACCCATTCAGTATGATCATTAACACCTGTGTGTCATCTTTCAATTGCACTATACAATAAGCAAACCTTACACTGTTAAAAGAGTGCTTATAGTGCAGTGGATAACAGCGGATCCCAGCAGGACAATATATAAACAAGGATTTCTTAAATTAAATGTCAGTGTTTCAGGTCAAAGGTTGCCACTTGTTTAAAAAGTTGTAATATTAAAACCCTTTCACATAGACATGTCAAACTGCACAGCTCATATAGTTAAATGACTACCTATTTAGTTTGTATGGTCACGGGTCAGCAAATTCTTGCTCTTTTCACTTTCCTTCGGATAACTTCAGCTCTACTGTTAACCATTAAAAAAGTTTAAAAAGCGCACATTTTCCTACTCTAGTATTCCCTGTTCTTTGTGCTCCTGTGAAACTTTCCTAGTGCTTTCTTGTGTTTAATATATGTAGTTTGTCACCACATCAGTGCTAAATTTCTGTAAAATGATTTTTCTTTTCTTTTTTGTTAAATCCTTCTAAAACCGTGACAGGTAGGGCTGAATCATTTTTAAACTTCTTTTGGTTTCTAGGTTTACTCCAGACCCCAAATCTACTGGTTAATGACTCCAAGAGAGGTCTCAGCCCTAACCGTAGGAAGCACTCCTCCAGGCAACAACAGTAACACAGTAAATACTTCACAAATATTTAGCTTCATTCAAAATATCAGATTTAGAAAAAGGCACAGTGTGAAATGAATTCCTTACAATTTCCACATTTATCATCATTTGCGTCATAGACATATACTTTATAAACGTAAGCATTCAGTGTGAAACAAAATGTCTTGGATGTTTTGTGAAACATTATAAATTATAGTTGAACTAACTTACATAAGACTGAGACAATCCTTAAAATATGTAATTTTCAGTTTTTTTTAACCTTTCACTGCTTGTCATTTATTTAATAAAGTCTTTGCTGTTAATGGTATTTTATTTGTCACATTTTCTACCATCAAATGCTGGAGATTCCGTTTTTTAATCAAGCTGATTAATGTATTCCATTCATTCATTTTCATCAAAGAAGCACTTATCTTAATCAGTTCACATGTAGCTGTGCTGACCCAAAAGACTGAGAAATGAGCTAAACATAATTTATGATTTCTTTTAATTTCCATAATTTTTTACCAGCAGGACACATTTTGAAAATAAGAACATTGCACCTCATAAGCACGTCTCTGCTCTGAGGACTTTTCCCTGAATGGCATGCCATATGACGCCACCTCCACTTCTCTTGGCAGAGCATCACCCCCGCAATCAGCAACTGTTAAAAAGGTACAAAACTGAACCAGAAGGTCTACCAGACACAGAGAGGTTGTGTGGGGGGCAGACAGAAAGACAGAAAGACAGATGGTGGATGGGACTTTTTGGGATTTGTTTTTCTTACTTCTTTGCAACAAATGAACGAAGTGCTGAATCATTATGTTGTAGGGCTTGGAGACAGTGGCACTGACAAAAAGACGGGAGACAGAACTGGAAGATGTTGAGGTTCCACTTGGGAGAGAAAAGAATGGATAAGATTAGGAATGAGATCATCAGAGGTACAGCACAGGTTGAGGGACTGGGAGATAAAGTTAGAGAGACCAGACAGAGAGAGTTAGGAAATGTCCAGAGAAGTCAAGTAAGTAAGTAAGTAAAGTTTTATTYATATAGCACCTTTCATAGAAATAGATTCACAAGGTGCTGTACATCAAAGGTAAATCAAAATATATTCAATCAGAACAGGCGATACAAAAATATGGAACAAAAAAGTATAAAAGCTGTACAACAATCAAAGTGTCAAGACTGTACAATCCGAAAAACAAAACAAGTAAATTATGTCTAGACAAAAATTGGGAGGGCAGAGTAAAACAATAACATATTAAGATGAAGGATTTTTAAATCAGAAATTAATTTGGAGGCAGGTCTCCGAATGGGTAGATTGTGGAGTACAGGTACTTTTTAGAAAAATGCCTTTTTGATAAATTGAAATGATTTTGGATGAAAATACTGGCTGTTTGACACACACACACACACACACACACACACACACACACACAGTGGGGACCTTCCAGTGACTTCCATTCATGTTTTTTAGACTTTATAACCTAACCCTATTTTTTTGAAAGCATCGAAAGTTTTTGTCCTAAA